CTTAGTGCATTTCACAGTCAGCAGCCTAATGGAGATTTTAACAAAAGCTTGCTAGGGATGACAACAGCCAAGTTCAGTAGCACTCAGCTGTCTACAATTTCACAATCACTTCTGACATCATTTCCTCACCTAAAACATTATATAGTGTTCGTAATCTCCTTCTCTCCCTCGCGTACATCTTTTTGCATCTCACCTCCACCTGATCTCCACCTCTGCAGCTGTCCCTGGGTCACTCCTCACTCTGCAGGGGGGTCCCAGCCTCCTCGACCCCTGGCCAGGAGGTCAGCCCTCAGCCGAGGGGGTTATGCCAGATTTTGACTAAAACACTCCGTAATCCTTTCAGTACGCTTCATTCTTGGGTGTTGTGAATCCTAGTGACACCCAGTAAGAGAAGACTTCTGGTTCGATCTCTTAAATGTACAATAAACACATGAAGCAGCAACTGGATTCGCTACTGGAACATCAGAATGGACACAAATGAGAGAAGGTTATTTGGTTTGGTGTCGGTTACCTAAACAGTATCAGGACCAAACCCCTGAAAAGGGTTAAAGTAAGCAATCAAACCTAACCTCTATAGGTCTGGGGGTGGGAGATAACAGGAGCACCCAGCAAAAATCCACACGGATATAGAGGAGCACACGATTCCATATGGACAGGCACCCAAGCAAGAAATCCCGCACTACTGGCACATAATTATTAGAGTCAGGGATTGCATTAGCCCCTAGAAATTCCATCTTTTTTCTTTTTGTCTGTGTGTTCTGAAGAAACGTCACCAATACAGCTTTTTTTCTGCCTCCTGAAATGCAGGGCTTAACAAAAGAGGGCGAGAAAACGAGCTATATTTTGTCCGAGAGCCTCCGGGAGGAGGAGGCACACAGGTGAGTCTTGTCTGTTTCTGAGTCTGAATTATTTCCTCGTGATGCTTTCAACATCAGTGGCACCTGTCGGCTTCCTGGCAGTTAATCTGCTTGGACCTGCTTTAAGAAATGATCATAAATTGAAAAGGTCAATCTGCAGTTGCTGACGTCAAAAGCAATATGAATTCTAATAACGATTGTTTTTCACTTTAGACCAAAATTGTATGTGCGTTGTTTATGAATGGGTCATTTTTGTATTTACCATAGGTTCTAATGGTACCAAGTTCAATCTCCCAGGTGGAGTCTTCATCAACATTGATTAGTTTCCCTCAGTTTGTGAAGTTTGTATACTATCTCTGCTTTTAGCAATGGAATCAGTAAGCTTATATTTAAAGTGCCATGCTCTTAAACTGAGTTTTGCATTGTTAGTCATACATGTGAGGTTTTATTGGGTTTTTCCATTCCATCCTGGAAAGCTACTGTAGAACTGTGACACATGGGCCTGGTCAGGGCCAGATTTTGGTGTCCGTAGGCCAGAGGCACATTCACTCTGAAATGTGCAAAAAGAGGCGTAAACGCTACTTGAATGACGTCGCTTGACGTGACGCACTTTAAACTGTCCCAATGCTAAACCACCTGATTGACGGAGCGAGTCGAGTGACCATCACTTCCACACTTCTAGTGTCTAGAACAGCCGCTAGAGAGCGTGTGGCTATTGATTTGGAGCACCTAGATTTGATTGCAAGCATGTTGTTTCAGCTCATTTTTCGTTAGTCACTAGTGTTTCCCTCCTTCGTAGGTCCTAAAAATGTCATAGGCCCCTAGGCACTGTGCCTATAGTGCCTCATGGGAAATCCGGCACTGGGCCAGGCAGTGGTCTTGAGATAACCACACTCACTCCTCTATGTTGCAGTGTCACCCTGTATGTGGAGGTGGCCTGTAATGGACTGTTCGGGGCAGGACAGGGCTCGATGATTGCGCCCCCTGACCCCCACAGGAAGTACTCTGTCCAGAGGGCGGAGCTTGCAGTATTCAACCGGGGCGTCCAGGAGCTCCTGACTGACTTCGAGATGCTCATTGATGTTGTAAAGGTGGGGAACAAAACCAATCCATTATCCAACTACCCAATTCATAAAGCTGACTGTAGCTTGGTTCATGGCTTTGGACTTGCATACTTAGAAATTTGTTTTAAAAAGAGTTGTACTGTGTACAAAAGTTAGAAGTAGCTATGGTAAGTAAACTTGTCAATAAAGAATTAGGTTATAAATACTTCTACCAAGAAAAGCAGGCTCCAGGATTTTTGATGCATAATAGTGAACAAAATCAAATACAACAATACAATTCATAATACATCACACCACCTGGGTGCCACATGTGTAATTCTTCTGTCTGCTTTGTACTTGTTTGGCCTCTGATGTGGACCAATAGGTGCTGGGAGAGAATGAACAGCGAGGGTACCAGGCCCTGTTCACGGCCAACGAGATGGTGAACCTCTGTGACCCCTCTGACCCCAGCACTTTCTCTGCTGCCCGCCACTTGGCAGAGGTGTTCTTCAGCCAGAGGAATGGGCAGAGCCAGCACACAGTCCACGCCATGGGCCACTGCCACATTGACTCCGGTAGGGCTCCGACACGCCCTGTTCTCTGCAGGCACGCACCTGTCCTCTTGTTTCCTCACACATCTTGTTTGCATCTGAGCAGCGATTCTTTTATAAAGTGATAAATAAAGTGATCTTATTCTATTTGCAGATTTGTTGTAAAAGTTTTAAGATCATAAATTAACATACTGATTTAATATTTCTGTTTTGTGCATATGGGAATATAT